GTCTCGCTCTTGCTCAGGCTGGTTTCGAACTCCTGAGCTCAAACAATCCGCCCGCCTCGGCCTCCCAGAGTGCTGGGATTACAGGCATGAGCCACTGCGCCCGGCCTATAGCTGGAATTCTTGAATGAGTTCTTGAAGTCTTCCTGAAATTTTATGCAACATTTTATATGTATGTGTATTTTCTGTAACTTTCATCAAATATTCAAAAGCATATTTTAACACTCTCTCCCTCACTTCCCCCAAAGGTAAGAAGTACTACTCTGTACAACATATTCCTTGGGTGATCTTTCTCACTCTGTGGCATAATTATGGAAGTTAGGAATTGGGGATAGGGCCGGTTTGGCTCCCTTCCTCAACCTCCCTGTGTATGCATGGTCTGAAATACTTGATGAGAGTTTTGCAACAAGTCAATAATTTCTTACTTTTATGATGTTACACTTAAGTTACAGACCTGTGAGAGATCATAACATTATCTAAACCAAATGCTTCACATCATAGGTTTGGCAACTGTTGTCCAGTTAAGATATTTGAAATCACATGGCCTGGAAAATATTAGAGGGGGAAGACTGTTGTTCCAGGTGTTGTGGTGCTAAGAGCTGTGTTTCTTTCTATTATACAAAATATTTGAGACTCTCGTTGTACCTTGGTCATTGGGAACCTAAAAGATCTCTATTTTTTTCCAAAAACAATGGAATGGCATTTTGCAGAGCTCAGTATAGCTACATAGCATATTTATTTCAAGGAGAAAATCTAAAGTGGTAATAATTTGTGAAGAAAATAGACCAAATACACTATCTTTAAAAACAAAATTGTGACTTTAACAATTTATTTATTTATTTATTAATTAACAAACAAGGTCTTACTCTGATATCTGAGCTAGTGGCATCATCAGTAGTTCACTGCAATCTCAAACTCCTGAGCTTAAGCGATCCTCCTGCCTCAGCCTCCTGAGTAGCAGGGATTACAGGCATGAACCAGTACACCCGGATAATATTTAAGTTTTTTTTGTAGAGATGGGGTCTTCCTGTTGCCCAGGCTGGTCTAGAATTTTGGCCTAAAGTGATCTTTCCACCTGGGGCTCCTAAAGTGCTAGGATTACAGACATGAGCTGCCATGCCTGGCCAATTTTTTAAATATATTGGTAGAAATTGAGTATGCTCTGTTGCCATCTTGTGGATTTTGTTTTTGTTTTTTTTTGGGGGGGGTGGGGCAGACAGAGTCTTGCTCTGTTGCCTGGGCTAGAGTGCCATGGCATCAGCCCAGCTCACAGCAACCTCAAACTCCTGGGCTCAAGCGATCCTCCTGCCCTAGCCTCCAGAATAGCTAGGACTATAGGCGTGTGCCACCATGCCCGGCTAATTTTTTTCTATTTTTAGTTGTCTGGCTAATTTCTTTCTATATTTAGTAGAGATGGGGTCTTGCTCTTCCTGAGGCTGACCTCAAGTGATCCTCCCGCCTCTGCCTTCCAGAGTGCTAAGATTACAGGCATGAGCCACCACACCTTTTTTTTGATTTTTGATTAAGCTTAATGTCTCAATGTCATTCCTAAAAAAAAACTGAAAATAAAGCGAATTAAGAGACCAGTAGGTGGCAGCAACAGTATAGAAAGTAAATTTGCATTGAGTGATAAGAGCTTTCGGTCTTTCTTTTCTTTCTTTCTTTCTGTCTTTCTTTTCTTTCTTTTTTTTAAATAGAGATAGGCTTTGCTCTGTCACCCAGGCTAGAGTAGACTGTAGTGGGCTCAAGCAATCCTCTTGCCTCAGGCTCCCAAGCGGCAAGGACCACAGGTGTGCTCCACCACACCTGACTAATTTTTCTGATTTTTTTGTAGAGAACGGGAGTCTCACTATGTTGCCCAGGCTGGTCTTAAACTCCTGGCCCCAAGTGATCCTCCTGTCTCAGCCTCCCAAAATGCTGGGATTACGTGCATGAGCCACCACACCCGGCCAAGAAATATATTTTCATTGTGACTTAGTGCATACCACACACATACCGTATATATAAAAACTGAAAAAATCACATAATAAATTATATGAAACTGAAGCAATGTATAAAACTGAAACAATAAGCAATACTCCTATGTATGTTGACATTTTCTATTTTATTTCAAAGGTGAATCTTTGGATATTGCCTTTAAGTCATTTCTCGAAGATAAATAGTTATCAATTGTCTACTTTGTGCCAAACATTGTTCTAGCACTTACAAGGGTAGAGATGACACATAAAGTTCCTGTTTTGTGGAGGTTCTGTAATAGTGGAAGGGTAGAGGGCACAGATAATAAGGAAATAAATGAGCAAGAATTTCAAATAGTAAGAAGTACAATAAAGAAAACATTAATGTGATGCAGTGATTTGACAGGGGCCAAGGAGGCAGTAGATCTGGAGACCCTAAAAAAGGAAGGCTTCTTTAAGGAATTTCTGTTTAAGGTGAGACTTGAACCATGAAAACGAGCCAGCTGTTAATAGCTTGGTAGTGAGGGCAGGCAAGTTAGTGAGGTCTGCCAGTGCAGGTACCTAAGGCTGGTATGGGCTTGACTTGCTGAAGGAGTGAAGGAAAGCTAGAGTGATCAAGTGTAGAGGTAGAGAATTAGGGCAAGGTTGGTAGGAGTTGAGGCCAGAGAGGCAAGGCTTGACATTTTAAACCTTTTTGTGCCATGGGCCCTTCTGGCTTCTAATGAAGCCCATGAATCCCTTCTTCACATAATGTTTTCAAATGCATAAAATAAAACACATAGCGTTACAAAGGAAACCAGTTTCTATTGAAATATACTTATCAAAATATAGAACAAATTCTTGATACAGATATATGTCCTTTTTATTAATGCATTTAAAAACATCTGACAGAAAATCTACTTTAATTTTGTAGTAAGAACGAGCTTAAATGATACTTCAGAGTATCTCCAGAAACTATAATATGATATAAAATATAGCTGATATTTTGTTTGGTAACAAAGACACAGATACTGGTAATATTAATATTACTGTGGTTTATTGTCTACGTTAATGATGGAAGGATGCTAACTTTCAGTTAGAGGTTAGAGAAAATAAAGATGGAATTTACTTTTCCATGTTTAGGTGCTACTCTGAATTCAAGGGATCCGTGGGTTAAGACCCCAGGATAGCTCTTGTAGGGCATTCTAGGCTGTGGTAACTAGTACAGAATATAGTTTTTCAAAACCGCATTGGAAATTGGCAGCTGAGGTTCAGTACAAGTTACAAGTAGGGGAAGGAATTCAAGATGCTAGTGAGAGTTTGCAGGATAAGGGAGCAGGTGAGCTCGGAGGGGGTTTGTAGACTCCAAGAAGAGCTGCAGGAAAGTGGGCCTGTGTGTTTAAGAGGCCAGAGGAGATGTCGAGGGTGACATAGGTTCTGAAGTTTATATAGGTATTTCTGTAATAATACTGTGTGTATATTCTTGGAAAGCCTTCTTGAAAGTCATGCTAGAAAAATAAAAAAGCGTATGGAAAAAATAGAGTTGGTAGAGACTTTACATGAAAATTTTAAAACCGTTATTAACAAAAGCATTAACAAACTAATAAAATCAGTGGCCTCCATTGCATTTGCATCTAGCACCAGCTTTAGGCAACTCTTTGCAGCCTTACGGTCAGGAGCTCTTGTTTCCTCCTTTGAGATGTAGGTCATTGAGGGGCATTTGCTTCTAATGGAGGTCAGTTGCATCAAAATTAAAAATCTAAAAGCAGAGTATAGAATTTAGTCGATTTTTTTAAAACACTGGTAAGTGTTTTTGTACTCCAGCCTTCCCACATATCTTAAAGTAGTGGAAAGCACAGTGACCATTAAGCCAACCACTCGGAAGTCTTCATTGCTAAGGCTTATTCTTGTATCAGAGCTTGCCTTTGATCCCTTCAAAACGTTAATAGACTGGAACAAAAAATTCATGAACCAACACCACCTCTGCATTTTACTGCCATAATTCCTTTATTTACCAATATCACATAAGCGGACTTGGAATAAAGAACCAGGCGTTGTAGCACAACAGACATTATGTGGGCAAAGTGTTGTTTATAGTCTGTCTAAATGATATTTCACACATATGTACTATTTTCTAAATATGTTTAGATGCTGTTGTGATTAATAACAAAATATGAATTCTTAAAACAATTTTGCTGACTTCATAGTAGTTTTTCATCATTTTCTCACGATCTACTGAAATGTCTGGGAAAGTTTGGGAACTATTGCTTTGACGGGAAATACAGTGTGCTACAGATTGCTTGTGGAATTCTAGGGGAATTTATTGGAGAGCAGGAAACAAAATCCTTGCATTATACCAATAGTAATAGAGTAACTGTTGGACTTCTGTTAAGTGTCAAGGACTGTACTAAGTGTTGTATATAATTATTTATTAATCTTCTAGGTAGCTACTGTTATTATTCCATTGCACAAAAAAGGAAAAGGGAGCTCAGCGTAACATGCTCCAAATAACAGAGCCAGTAGGTAGCAGAGCTGGGATTGGCACCCAGGTCTCTCTACTCCTGCTTTTTCACGCTGTATACCCTGTTGCTTTACTTATTCCTTCTTACATAATTCCCCAGCATATACTCTTAAATAGCATCAAGCCAAGTTCCATTGTGTAAAAACTTGGCTTGATTTAACCTCTGTTAATTTGAACACTCTGTTATTAATGGAAATTAGGAATATAGAGTAAGCTAGAGGTCTTACTTAATGGCTTTGACTTTGGTTTATTAAATCAACAAGAAGTAAAATTCATTTAGTTGTAATTAATGTCAGGTTTCTGCATCTCTAGTACTCAATTGTCAAGGAGATTACAGGCAAGCAGGGGAGGCAGTGTATTGTTAGTAGGAAGCTTTGAGTGCTAGTTCACCTTCCTTTCTATAAAACAGAGTATTATAAACACATTTGAATTAAAGCACCTGAGTAAATAGTAACTTTGGAGACCTGCTGTACTATTTATACCATTTGGATCAAATGATGCTCATTATCTCAGTCATATTTTTATAATCAGTAGTCTTGTATTTTTAAAAATGAGAACTTTTTATTTATTTTTCTTACTACTTTCTTTTAGGAAAACACCAGACATTATTGTTGGCAGTTTTTGTGACTCCTCTTATTGATCTTCGTTCTGATTTCTCCAAGTTTCAGGAAATGATAGAAACAACCTTAGATATGGACCAGGTATGCAATATATATACTTTTGAATTCAAGTAGCAGAATATTTTTGAAAAGCAAAGACACATTAGAAAAGTTTGCAGATTTCTCTTTTTAGTATCTACTTGTGGCACTTTTGTGTGGCACTTTTGTAGATAGTGGATGTAAGATTGAGTGACAGATAGGAAAATAATTTTTTTAAAAAACAATTGCTCCAATGGATGAAAATAAAGATTAATAGAGGAAATGAATACTGGGCATAACTGGCCTGGTTAAAGAAAATCTCATAAATAAACAGTTTCACATATGCAATTAGGTTTTGTTTTATTTCCAAGAGAGAAGGAAAATTATAGTCACTAGGATAGGGAAGAGAAGGTAGGGGTAAATACAGGACATGAGAAAACTCTTTTGTTTATTTCTCGTATGGAGAAGTTCTTTGGGAGAGGAGGTTAGAATATGTGTGTATCTCCTAAATAGTTGTCAAATGTATACAAAGTTAACTTTGTTAACTAAATACTGTTTACTTCCAAATTTCTTGTTAATTGAGAACATTTAGGGTTTAATTTAAATGACCCATATCCTCAAGTCTTTAACCATTTTGAGCAGTAATTTGTATATAAAGTGGAAATAGTTCCTGAAATAGTTGAAATTATGCTTATATGAAAATGAATACAAAAGCAGAGTTTATGAAATGGTAAAGTTTTGTATCTGTTAAAAATTTGTTTATATGAACAAGTTTAATATGATGAGGCCATTGAATGTAGTGTTTTTAAATTATGACTTTAATATTTTGAAATTTTTCTGAATTTTCTGTTAAAATGATTATGCAGGGAATATGTGTTTGTGTTATTCATATTAAGGTAACAGCATAGTTTGCTAATTGTTAGATTCTTTGCATTCTTCTCAATACCTGTGAGTTTGAGTTAATATTTGCCCTATGTGATGTTGATTTGTTTTTACTGGGTCATTAATTCAGGCTTAAAGAAGTTAAATCTCATTTGCTCTGTGCTGTCTGTATTTTAAAAGTACATAAGTGTGTATATGTATAGCATATTTTATGTCATTGATAGGGCAGTCTTTTTCATTTACTTGCAGGCTAAAAAAACTTGTATTAATATCATTATCTCTTATTTAGGAATGCTTGCATTTTGGCTGTTTCCTCCATAATATTGCTGTTATTGAAATGATTTTAGGTGCTTTTTAGATATGGAACTTTTTAGGTCAGCAGGAGGCAGAAATACTGTTCCAAGACATCTGGATGCTGAATGTGTTTTGCACATGCCTCTCTGAGGATGTGGCCTTGCTTATGATGGATGGAGCAGAGTTGGGTGTTTGTAAACATTCCTTTAAATAAGAATATGTAAAGATGTTCCTGATGATTGACAAAAAACTGTGACTATAATGGAGCCTAATGGGGGTGGGACAGCAAGTATTGAGCGTTTCATTGTCACCACGGCTGTATACCCTTGAAGGAACCCAGTCCAGGCAAAGCTCTGCTGAAATGCTGCAGTTGATTTTGCCATTTGTGGCCACGTTTATTCTTCTAAGTTGCTATAGTCTTGCCTTAATATTGTGGGTCTCAAATTTAAGCAGGTATCAGAATGCCCTAGGGGGCATCTTTAAACCAATTGCTGGGTTCCAAGCCCTACATCAGGGCTTTAGGTGTGGGGTAGGGCTGGAGAATTTGCATTTCCAACACATACCCAAGTTTGTTGACGCTGCTTGTTTGGGGAACTGCACTTTGCTTGCACTTCTGCTTGCTTAGTAAATTAGGAATGTAATTGACCTCAAAGTGAGAATGAGTATATGTAATGTTTTTCCACCAATTTGTAGCCTCCCTGAAATGCTGCACACTTAGGCAATCACTGGGCAATATCTAGCCAAAAGTTCATTTTAATAACTGAAATAAGTGACTGAGGCAAGGATCTCAATCAATTGAGGTTTATTAAGACAGCTTTAGGGCACATCCAGGAAAAGGTCATCTGTGGCTGTTTTTCCAAAGAGGTTTTCAGGAGGTTTACTATTTATACATTTCCTTAAAAGGGGCAGGGTAGGCATGTCAGAAGAGGGGCAAATGGTTACATCCTTGTGAGACTGTGGTTAGTGCCCAGTAAATCTACATTTTAGATAAGGTGAATGCTTTAAGAAAAAAAGGGAGTAAGGGAATAATCAATAAGTCAGCCATTTATGAGTGGCTGGAGCAATGGTTAATCTCATCTTGTATTTGTCCTGCACTGAGAAAGGTAAGCTTGTTGCAGTTGGCTTGTCCTTGTTTATGGGAGGCTAGCGGAAAATTTCCTCGTGAATGATCTCTGGGGATGTCACTGTTCTGAGATACCTGAGGCCTTTTGCCTTTCTGTGGGGATCTGACTAATGCATCATGCTAGTAACAGATATTCATTTGGAATAGGGTGTTGGCATGATTCAGCCGCCAGGCTTAACCTTCTCTTTGGCATAAGGAGTTTTGGGGTGGGGGGAGGGTCCTTAGATTTTTAAATTTTCCTTTATAGTTTGTATAATTGAGAATGTTTAAAAGGTTGTTAAAATTTGTAGCCCCTTGTATTCTATTAAATGTACAGATCTTCTATTAAGATCCCCTGGCAGCTATCCTTTTATCTGGGCCATCACATTCCTGCCAGACAGATGCTGAGGCTCTATCCTCCCCCTCACTTTTGGACTGTAAAGCTGTCTTTCTGCAATAAATAGTTTTATTATTTGCAGGATCTACTCATTGGTGATATTACCCACTACTATGATAATTACAAAGGGCAACAGGATGATCAAATCCTGGATACTTGTAATTTACATTATGCCTTTTAATTTTTTTTTAAAGTCATACAATATTTTGACTGTATAGGTTCAACCCTTGGGATGTATATCTGCTCGACAGTGTTATCGGAAAAAAACCCCGAACTCTACCAAAAAAAATTTTTTTTTGAGACAGGGTCTTGCCCTGTAGCCCAGGCTGGAGTCCTGTGGTGGGACCATAACTCACTGTACCCTCCAACTCCTGGGCTCAACTGATCCTCCCGCCTCAGCCCCTCAGTATTATAGCTGGGACTACAGGTGCTCACCACCATGCCTAGCTAACTAAAAAAATTTATTTACAGGTCAAAACTCCCATGCTGATCAGTAGTGGGATCGTGCCTGTGAATAGCCACTGCACTCCAGCCTGGGCAACATAGCAAGACCCCGTCTCTTAAAAAAAAATTTTGTTTAGAGACAGGGTCCTACTTTGTTGCCCAGGCTGGTCTCAAACTCCTGGCCTCAAGCAATCCTCCTGCTCTGCCTCCCGAAGTACTGGGATTACAAGTGTGAGCCACCATGCTCAGCCTACAAAATAATTTAAAGTAGTTTATTCTGAGCTGAATATATGTGACTGCCAGCCCAAAGCACATGGCCTCAAGAGGTCCTGAGAAAATGTGCATGAGGCATCCAGGTTATAGTTTGGTTTTATACATTTCTGAAGACAGGAATTACATGTAAAATCATAAATAAGTACACGGAAAATATACATTAGTTTGGCCCAAAAAGGTGGGGCATCTTGAAGAGGGGGGCTTACAGATTATAGGTGAATTCAAAGATTCTTTGGTTAAAGAAAGGAAGCTTTGTCTAAAGCCTTGGTCTGTTTTAAGATGAGGAAGTCTGTTAATCAAGACGAGGCGCATATGCCAAGTGATCTGTTAAGTAAATTGATGGCTTGCAGGTGTGCTTTAACCTTTATCTTGCATGGCCTTAGGTCCTGTTAATAATTTAGTATCTTATTGTTAGCAAGAGTAACTTGAAAAGGGAGGGGCATAGTGAGGCATGCTTTCTCATGGCCGGCAACTCCATTTTTAAGGTTTTTCTGGGATCCCCTTGGCCAAAAGGGGTCCATTCACTTGGCTGGGGAGCTTCTGATTTTATTTTAGTTCACAACAGCAAATGAACCAAAACATTCCCTAACAAATGATGGTGTACCATTAATGATTTAATAAATTCTTGCTTGTAGTTTTTATTTAGAGTGCTTATAGGTAGTTTTTCAAAATGACATTTAAAAAGGAGGATATAAATAATTTTAAAAGTTTTTTTGTTTGAGGCTTTTCTACTTTTAAATGTAACACAGAGTAATAGGATGAGTGACACAAAATTTTACAAAGAAGTATAGAGGCAAAGATGAGATAAGGATGGGAGGAATATATTTCCTCCACCCACTTAAGTGTAGTGACGAGGCTTGAGAATTAAACTGACAAAAGACAGAGTAACAGGAGAAAAGGTTTATTTCGAATGCACATGAGAGCTTCTCAGAAAAGAAGCTAATAGGGCTGCCTTTTTCTTCTTTTCTTTTTGTCTTTTCTTTCTTTTCTTTCAGGATCTTGTTCTGTTGGCTGGGCTAGAGTGCAGTGACATTATCATAGCTCACTACAACCTCAAACTCCTGGGCTGGAGCAGTCCTCCTGCCTCAGCCTTCCAAGTAGCTGGGACTACAGGCCCACGCCGCCAAAGCCAGGCTGATTTTTCTATTTTTTGTTGAGATGTAGTCTCTTGCTCAGGCTGTTCTCAGCTATTGGCCTCAAGTGATCCTTCTGCCTCAGCCTTCCAAAGTGCTTAGGATTACAGGCTTGAGACGCTGTACCCGACCTAGTTGCATTCTTGATCATCTTTCATGTAATACATTGGAATAACAGGAGGGGAAGAAAAGACCATTGTTCTTGATGAGTTGAGTCCATCTGGCCTTTATGAAGATAGAGGGAAAGCCCCTTCCAAGGCCCGTTGATCTCCAAGGCCTTTAATTCAAAATACTCTTTATACTAAGGCGTCATATTTTGGGGTAAAATTCCCTGAGCTTCTTCAATACTGTCTTAAATGAATCAGATTTCTTATTAAAAACCTGTTCTAGATTCTGTAGGGGTTGATCTAGTAGAATATTAATATTATAGGGACCAAGGCCTCCTGGCTCCCTAAAGGTTCACTGAAAAATTACTAATATGAGACAGATTAATTACTAGAAGAAAAGGCATAAAAATTTATTTAATGTGTATATACAC